GTGTAGATCATGTCTGTAGATAATCTGGCAAGTTGGGTAACGCGTATGTATTAAAATGATTCAAAATAAAGTTGAGGGTGACGCAAATTATGGGATTTTCCAGAAGATAAACCAAAAAGTGAATAAATGGAGTGTTGGAGATAATCCTGAACAGATTTTTGCAACTTTTTGTGGATCTTGTTCTCCAAAATTTGTTAGCATAAACTATAAATTAGAGGTTTTCTGCTAATGATAATAATTATCCGTTTTCTATTTTCAAAAATAGTAGTCATTACTTTTAACTCCAAAAAGTATGAATCAAAAATGGTTAGTAGATAATTTCATGGATACAGAGGCGCTTGCCTGATGTCCTCTTTGAAAATTTATAATGTCTAAATTTTGTGGATTTAAACGGGTGTAAAAATAAAACTGGAGGTTGGCGTGGAGCGTACTGGAATCGTCTGATGTCCAATTTAAAAACTGCTGCAGCAGAAGCTCAGCTGCTCAGCGTCTAAAATTGTTTAGACGCTTTTGATTTTTTGATTGGGAAGTTTCTCGTTTTATACTAGGGTTCAGAGACCCCTTTCTCCTCTTCTCCTTCCTCAATAGCTTTGGGGAGCTAACCCTTGACTCGTTGCTCTTTAGTTTCTAATTTAACAACCTAAACCGCCGTTAAAATACACTTCTTAAATGTCGGGGATTTGATTCCCATTTTGTTTGATCCTAGCTGCAATTTGCACCTCTCCTTTGAGCGAAGGTAAAACAGAGCTCAGACAAACATCTCTCCCTTACTGTATATCGATTTATTTGGAGCTAAAGGTGGGGCGTTGAGATAAAAAATTGTTTTGCGAAGTGAGTTCCCAGATTTTTCTGCGCTTTCAATCCCCTTTTCTCAGTCCTTTCAAAAGATTAAGCTCTATTCTGGGAAGGAAAAGAAAATATCACACAATAGAAACAAGATGTTAATTTGCTGTTAATTCAAGTCTTTGAAGGATGAGTTTTTGACAGCATCAGTATTCCACTTTTGTTTTGGAATCTAATTAGTCGGCTAGATTAGAGCTTTCATGCTCAACTTGTCTGAGAGAATCACGGTGGAACACAAACAGTGTTTGCTTAGAGGAGAGATCAAACTATATTAGCAGCTCATTTACTCATCGAGCACTGATGCAAAAACCACACTGCTAAACCGCTCATTACAAGTTTAGTTCTCACTGTTGCATAGTATAGACATGTATTCAGCTGTTGGTATCCACTGGCTCACTTTCTTCTCCTCTTTTCCCTTCTCCCCCTCGCCTCTCTTTCTTTCTCCAGTTGCTTCAGCAAGCAGCCTCCTCTGGTAACCTAGGAGCCTTCAGCGGGATCCAGCAGATGGCCGGTGAGTCAAAAATCAGTCGATAGACTCACAGATCTACCACGGCAGTGGACTCTTTGTTGCGCCTCTCTGTTTTTTTTTTTCCACAGACTTCTAAAACAGGACCAAAGAGCATAACAGATGAACTCGCGTGGTGGAGTTAAGAGAGATCTTTGCCCTGAAGATTTATTAACTGTTGCTAAGATTTGTCTTGATCTTTTAATGAGGCCAGACAAGAGTTGTGCCCTGGGCGTGTAACAGTAGCACTGAGGCTTTGTCGGGGATGGATGAATCACAGAACGGAGGAAAGAGAAAGAAAAAGGAGCACAGAAAATGGTTAAAAGTGGGCACCTTTGGTGGGTTTGTTGCACTGCAGGCTGGCGCCATCTACTGCTCTCTTCCTGTGGAGGGCCTCTGATCTATCATCTTCACTTCCATACTTTCTTTCATGAGTATCTGCAGGTTCAAAGCAAAGTTAAGCCTTTTGTTCACTCTAAAGGAATTGAGCTTAGGGAAGACACTACAAGGGAGCAGGCTGAAATTTTTTACCTAGTAGATGTCGCTGCAAAACTTGGCTTCGTTTTGGAAAAATATTTTATGTATTACACATTTTCTGGTTTAAATATGAAAATGATTCATTATCTAAATATGTGCCAGCTTACATACTTTTCCAGAACAGAAATTTAAAGACTAGATAAAGCCAGGTTAAAAATGTACTCTTTAATTTAGTTACTGTCCAAAGGCTTTTTTTTTCTCCCAGCTGCAAGAAAAAAATACATTTTGGGAATAAAATCTTGTATAAATGAGGCTCCGAATCACATTTGAGTAAGAATTTCCATAAAAATATGCAGCATATTTTTATGCAGAAAGTTTCATTGATGTAAGTGCTAGTGGATTTAATGTAAATTTGCATGATATATATTACAAATTATTGGCGACCTAGAGGATTTTTACAAGCCTGTATCACTTGAAACTTTCACAGCTGGTTACTTACATGTAGACAATTATTTCTGCGTCTGAACTTTACTGAAAAATTATTTTTAAATGTATAAATTAAATATTACATGACTACATATGTGCTGACTTGCATACTTTTCTTGAATAGAAATTCAAATATTGAATAGTTCACCGAAAGTCAAATATTTTAACAGAAGTGATTCTGTCAAAAAAAATTTTTTAGCACTTCATAAAACAAAAAACACTCAGTCAGAGAAGGTCAATCTTTTTAATGATTCTTAGCAATAAAACCTCAGTAATACTTGGCTGTGAATGTTGGATCCTAGTATTTATGGGGAGAAATGTAAACCTATATTATTAACTTACATTAACACAAATATTTTCCATGTTGCAACCGGTCTGACATTTGTATGTTTATGTTTTTATGCAAATCAGGCATTTACCCATGTAAATATGTGCCTGTTTGCATTTTTTTTCTCAAAACAGAAATTTGAACAGTGCATGAAGTGGAAATACCTTGAACAGCAAATGTCTTTTACTCCCAGCAGACAGAAAAAAGTACATTTTTGGCATGTTTTTGAGTAAAGTGCTCTATAAATGAGGCCCTGAATGACCTATAAGCAGCATAGCATAATTAAACTTCCTCAATAGTTTCCTTACATTAACACAAATATTTTCCATGTTGCAAGCATTCTGAAATTTTATGTTTAAATCTGCAAATTAGGCAATTATCTACCTAAATATGCGCGAATTTCTCCAGACCAGAAAACCGAACTTCAGATAAAACCTGGAAATCTGCTAGAAATAATCAAACATTTTGATTTTATTGGATGCTCTAAAAATCAGAGATGTTAGGTAGATGTTAGGCTTAAAGTATGTAAAACTATAATTTTTTAATATTTTAGTGTTATTATTTTAGTATTTACAGGGAGAAATTTTCATTATCGGGAAACTTCCCCAGGTGCTGACTTACATTTGGACAGTTACATGCACATGAGGCATTGTCTCATCAAATATGCACTAATCTGCATAATCCTTCAATAGACAAAGCGCAGTCAAATAACAGCCAGTGAAGGTTTTCCAACACGTGAAGACAGGAAATGAAGCGGTATGGGACAGTAATTCTCCTAAGTGAAGCTGCAGCAATAAAAAATGCATATTGTATTAACCCAGTTCTGTATTAATCTAAGCCTTGAGCTCGACAAGAAGCTCTGCTATTAAATGTTGAACAAGATAAAATCTCTGTATTTAAGAAATATAATTTTTAGGGCTTTAAAATTTGGGTTATTTAAGACTTTCAGGCACTCGTGGATACTCATCATCTCAACTTTCTTCTCTCTTTCCATTAAACTCGTCTCCTCTTTCTTGCTTTTTTATTTTAAGCCTCCTTTTTGCAGATTCTCCCCCACCTCCCACCCTCCTCACTCACAGTTTCTTCATCTCCCCTTTACGCCTCCCTCCAGCCTTCGCACTCCGACTGTTCTGCCCTCCTTTGGTTCGCTTTCTTCGCGAGGTGTCAGCTTTTAATTGTATGTTGTTTAGCGCGCATAAAGAAACTGCCAAAGGATCCGAGCGTGATAAGACTTTTTTAAAGTGGCGAGCCCCGTCTTGTCTCCTCTCGTGTTCTGTCACGTTCCCCTGAGTTGCAGTGTCTCGCAGTTTCCCCGCAGCTGTTTAAAATTTTCTGCCGTTGGGCTCAAACATACATTTTCCTTTCGAATATACACTCACGCTGACAAACAGGCTTTAGGATTTGGAGCGGCGAGTGAGTAACGGTGTCTGAATCTGGAGATCTGTTGGTCCTCCATCTGCGATGCGGAGCGCGAGAAGGGAGAGGGAGCGAGTATTAGTGATTGGCAGGAGATGTGAGACAGCTGAATGACATCTGGTCCCAGTCTTTAACACGAGGAGCTGCAGAGCTGAGAGGCTTCAATTACACCAATGAGCATTCAATTAGATGCAGCCAACGGCAGCCTGGTGCAGGCCGGCGCTGCCATACAAGCTGCAGGGAGCGCACACGCACACACGTGCATCCCTGCACACATATGTACTCACACACTCGCGAACCATCTGGCCGGCCCTGAAACCCCGGCCCCAATGTGGAAAATAGAATGAATTTGTCTCATACGATCTCTCTTTCTTTGTCTCCGCTTTATTCCTCTCTAGCCCAGTTATTTTTTATCTCTTGGCCTGCTCCTTTTCTCTCATAACTGGCTTGAAAATAAATGCTGGTTCAATGAGGGTGACTGTCTTCGACAAATGCAAGTAAGAATGGGTGTAGAAAAGAAGAAAAAAGGCAAAAAAGAGGTTGCAATGAGTGCAAAAGATAGAGACAAAAGGGAGCTGCTGGAATTGTCTTTGTCATCGACTGAGGGAGAGAAAAGAAAGGCTGGAAAAATGGACCAGGAAAAGGGTTGGGGGAAAAGAAGGAACTAAAAACCTAAAAAGGTAGACGAGGGAGGAAAAGGCCAGTACGAAAATTGGGAAGTAGGGAAAAGGAAGATAAGAAATGGGCAAGTAGGGAAAGATAGATGAAGGGGTCAGGATATAGGAAAGAAGGGAGAGCAATGAAGCAGAGAAGGGAAAGGAAAATGTAAAGCAAGAATAGGGAGGAAATTAAAAAGCAAGGAAAGTAGGAAATGAAAGGGAGGAAAAGAAGAGGGAATAAAAGGAAAAAATGTGGAAAAGATGAGGAAACGAAAGAATAAGAAAATGAAAGTTAAAGAAGCAGAAACATACATAAGAACCAAAGTAGAGAAGAAGAAAGTAAATCAAGGGCAGAAAAAGGAAAATGACAATGATGGAAAGATGAGGAAAGAAAAAAGTGGAAAGGAAAGGAGGAAACAAACGAAGGTGGGGGGAAAAAGCGCAGCGAAGGTAAAAGTGAAGTGATTCTCTACAATGACCATTTATTAGCATTGTAAACACACTCGAGCGTGTTTGTGGATCTCTGCCTCACACATAGAGAAGGAGGAGGTCTGCAAAATAAAAACATACTGTCGATTATAATAAAGAGGTATGAATGAGAGCTCTTGTAAACAGCCTTCCCTCTGTGTTACCTGCTCCGTGGAGTCAGAAATGAGATCTAGCAGCAGCGCTGAAACCACATATCTCCTCGCTCATGTGGCGCATTGTCTGCCTTATCTGGAAAAACAACACTGTTTGAATTAGGCTGGAGCGTGCGTTTCATGGGATGCGATAGAAAGAGCGGCGGCGGTTTTTATCCCCACCTTTGCGCAGAAGTAGAAATCCATTTCGGGTTGTGATGTACGACGGAAAATTGGAGAAAATCGCTTTGCAAACGAGATTGGTTTTGGCTTCGGTGTAAGTAAGCGCAGATGAGTGGGGGAAAAACTCACATGCGTGCAGAGGCACGCTCGCGCACTTGGTGTCTTTAGCTTTGTTTACACACACACACAACACACACACTTCCTGCTGCAGCACCTCGATATCTGTCGTCATTGGCTGCGTTCAATTTGACTGTCTGGGTGAAGGATATCTTTGTAGAACCTCTAAGCATTCACCACGGTGTCAAACAAGATGGATTTTCTTCATGGTGTCTTGTTCGTGTGTGTCTTATTTGTATCCGTGTGCAAGAGTGTGTGTGTGTGCGTGTAATCTCATGGTACGGTATATACACGCAAACTGTATATACGACGCATACACCTCACATTGACAGTGTCCACCCTTTTAACACGAGGCAGAGGAAGCATCTCTGTGGTAAGACCTTTACTTTCTGCTCTGATGACTGTTTGCTTTCGGAGGTTTTGTACTCACACACACTCGCACTAACACACACACACACACACACACACACACGCGCGCGCGTATTTGTGGAGTGAGGTGAAAGGTTGAGTTGTGCTCACAGACAGTGTTTTATAGCCTCTGCTTCGCCATCATTTAGGCGTTGGCACATAGGCATTAATTATGCTTAAGTACAGGCCGTATGCTTAATGCCAGAAAGAAGATTAACAATGAGGAGAGTTCAGCCTTCAGGGGTCCCTGAAATAGAGGGTGACTGCTGAAAGGGAGAGGGCTTTAATATTTAGTTTAAAGGGGAAGGCTTCAATCATTTGGCATCACATAGGGGCCAGCCGTAGACTGCATAATGTCCAGGTACTCTAAACGGTCATTGTTTGTAATAGCCAGCATGGGGTGACTCATCTAGTAAAGTCTAATGGAAACTTACTTCTCATTCGATTTATGATCTCAGTAAATACTTTCCGCTGGAATTTATGGCCTCAATCAGTAGTTTTAACGCCACAGTCACATTAGGGAAAATAGGGGTTGCATGACCAAAATTATTGGGACAGTATGTCATGAACTTGAAGTTTTATTGCCTCTGAAATGGTGCCTTCAAAGAAGCGGACCAAGCCTTGGCAGCACTCGCAGCCAGGTGCCATCCTCCAAGCGACTTTGGTGCATCAGGACGGCGATAAAGCAGAAACAAGACGGACTCTGTCTGCTTTGAATTAGGTCGAGTTGACAATTAAAATTGCAATCTTGCCACTTGCATTCAGAGAAAGTCACATTAACTACTGAACCTTGGAGAAACAGAAATGGTTCCAGATATAGTGACGTAGTTGCTCAAGGACGGTGATTCAACTGCGCGATGACGTAGGCGCTCAGTAACCTTACCTTAAGAGTCCACTACTGCAAAAAATATATATATATATATTGCAGGCAAGTTGCACAGACTGACTCCGATTGATTGCAACATGTTGACGATCGGCTATATTAGATGACAGTTATTTCCACACCTTTAAAGTGAATGCAGTCAGTTCAATCAGACCATGATCATTTGGAGACCAGTTACCTCCCACCAGAGGGTGAGGATGTTGCACATCTGGGCGACCAGTTGATTCCAACAACTGCTTGAACTCAGTCACCAAATTCCCAGATTTTCCGTAGCCGCAGTGAGTTTGCGGTCCTCATTTTTCCCTCTACTGTGACTGAGCCGTAAGTCAAATTTAATAAAACATGATGATAATTTTCTCAATTCTGGTCCCACTCTTAGTTACAGTGAATATAAAATAAAGCAGGGGCTTCTTTTCATTGACAGTATAAGCATAAGAGTATAAGCAACGTGTCTCCTCTTGTTTTCTACTTCTTAACCCTCCTGAGACCCTCGCACATCCTCACACGGGGTCATTATATTTATGCTTTTCTATAAATTCGAAGTGTTTTGTACCTTGTGACAATGATGAATTTATAATGTACCATAAACCCACTGTCCCCATGCAAGGTTGTACTTTTTAAACATTATTTGAAAGACGATGGTCCACCTAATCCCAAATAGCTCGGAAAAATTAAAAATAGGTCCCAACAAGAGCTCCAGCCTCAGGAGGATGATGGGACTTCATCCAGATTTTTATATTTGAAGTCTCTGAGCCCAGCTGATATGAATACACCCATATGTTTAGTCTTTCTTTGGCCCTTAACTCAATTCAGTGTCATTTTTACTAATTTACTTAAAAACTGAACTTTTAGCTTTTAAGGATTCATTGACTCTCACATTAAGTGCCTATTTTGATCGTTTAAATGGCATTTTGGCAATTTGCTGGTGCAAAAATAGTTTTGTGTTCTGTTTTTTGCATAAACGTAAGAGTTTTATGGGCTTTTTCCACATCTGCACCTTGATACCTGCAAACTATCAAACAAACTGGTACAGGTTGACATCAGTCAACAAGGCCGATACAGGCCAGTTCCCATGTGTGGTGCCCTTTAGTTTCATCCTCTGAACTACAATATCATAAAAGCTCCCATCATTACCCTGTGATATAGATGTGATGGTCTTTGTTGAGCTGGCAGGCATTTATTTATAGAAGCATGAGTTAGCTGAGCAGACTCGGAGCTCTTGTTGAATCTAAAGTGGTATAATTGGCTAAAAAGCCCATATAAGCACTGTAGGAAGGTTAGTTTCCTCCTGCATTGTCTGAGCCCTCTCCGCTGAGCTTTAATGCTTCTTGAATATAAAAAAATATATAACATTAACTAAATCGCTGAGATGATTTCTTCCTCCGGAGCAGCTCCGCCTCAGAGAAACGCGCCAAACCTAAAACACTGCAACAGCTGCTTTTTACTGATTCAGACACTTTGGGGACTTATTAGCAAAATCAGCTTCTGTAGTGTTTGCCTGCACACGCTACAGATTCTTCACAAAGACCTCAAATAAAGAGCATTTCAAGGTTTACATGTGCAGGATATCCACACACTCCACTGCTGTACACCTCCGGACGCCCAGCAGCTAACGTGTGTTCAGTGCTGTCCTCTGGTACGCTGTCCCGGTCCAGCCAGGCGACCCAGCCACGCCTCAGCCCCAGGTTTGACACCACCCTCTCTGGCTCCTCTCTCCAGGTATGAGTGCTCTGCAGTTGCAGAACCTGGCCACTTTAGCGGCGGCAGCGGCGGCGGCCCAAAACTCAGCCAGCCCCTCCACCGCAAACCCCCTGTCCTCCAACGCCGCCTCCCTGGGAGCGTTGGCCAGCCCAGGTAACGCCACAGCCACTCAGGTTGGGGGGTCCAGCGCCGGGGGAGGGTGGAGGGCCCGACGCCTGCCTGCGTCCTTCGCTCTCCATCGTTACCATTGCCACTGTTGTCGTCCCACGATCCCCGCCGCATCATCACCGACACCATTACTGCCGAAACATCCTCATTGTTTGGATCCCCGTCAGTGTTGTTGACCTTCTTTCTGGCACATTCCCATGGTGTGTGTATGTGTGTGTGTCCACCTTCATATCAAGACAGACACCATGCTGTGTTACTCACCCGCTGCCTGCCTGCCTCACCTCCCTCACCATGTCGCCCCACAGCCATGCCATCCTGTGATACACATGCGCTGTCCATGGTGCGCACGCATGTATGTGCGTTTTCGTGCTTAAGTGTTCCCGTCAGGTTTAGACCTATGTGTGTTTCTTCCGTCCTATTTTTGGTCGATTTCTTTGTTCATGCCTCACCTCACCAGCTCTGGAGACATTGTAGAAACTTTTTAGAGCAGCAGACTGGTTTTCTTTCCCAGCGGACGGCGTTTGTTTGTGTTGTTTCTGTGTTCATAGCTGTGGGTTTTAAAAACCTCCTGAACCCGGCTAAGGTTAAATATCATCACCTTCAGACTCCCCCCTCCTACCTCTTCTTCCCAAAGTGCCTCATCATTCTCACTCGCGCTGCCCCTCCTCCTCTCCTCTCCTCTCCTTGTGTTCCTTCTCGTTGCCCTCGTCTTTTCCTGCTGCCCCGCTTTTGACAAGCTCCCTGTTTCTGCTCCGTCATCCTCCCCTCTCATGTCGGCTCGGCCTCGCTCCAGCAGCCGTGGTTTTGCTGTCTCTTTTGGTGCGCACTCCCAACAGAGCATGAATATGAAAAACTACCCCCCTCCTCTCATACGCACCCCCCCCGTCTCCTCCCTCGTTAACACTTGCGCCTCTTCATCCCACTTCCTGCCTTCACCGAGCTGATCTGCGCTTGGCGTGAACGCCCGTTCTCGTCTCGTTCTCGCCATACTTTTCACCTTCTCTCTTTTATTCCCGCCTGTGTCTCCCTCCTTCTTCTTCTTCTTCTTCTTCTTCTCTCTCTCTGAATGTCAGTCCAACCTTGAATAGTACGCACTCAGGCTGAGTCGCTCTTTGTGAATGAGTGGCGGCATATACTGCATGAAACTGAAAACGTCACGCCAGTTTTGATAAATATAGACAGTTCTGCATGGAGACAGGCCGTGTGCTGACATTACGCTTCCTTTTACCGCAACATTTCTTAACGTGTTCAGCCGCAGTCCTGCTTTGTTGGCGTCGCTTTCATGAAAACAAGGGTAAATTAATACTTTTTTAAGAAATTGTTTTTGTTCTAAGCAGAATGAGATCGAAGGCTTTGTGCACCACATTTCCCTACCCACCCCATCCTACCTGTCCACCAGTTTGTCCACACATTTGCCATCACTGCGTGTTCAGGTGTATGTGTGCGTGAGTTTGCGTCCAACTGTGGTCTATTCATCCATCGCCCGTTGGCTGTTTTTGTGTGTTTCAGTTGATTTAAAATAAAACCAGGGAAAAGTCATTTAATTATAGTCCACATTTCTGAGGTTTGACTGTTATATGCGTTCTGTGCATATCTGTGCTTCTTTGGATTGTCCTTATGTTTATGTAATGCTCTTACAGCATTACCTCGATTGCAGCAATCCTGCAGTATACTTGCTTTGGTGCACAACATACCATGCAGAATTCTGTGATCATCTCCATACACTTCTATAGATTAATATATTTAAGGTCAAGGTGCCACTGCTTGTTTGGTAAAGGTTAATTAAAGGTGCCACTTGTAGCATGTTTAAGCATCAGTATAGCATCAGATCAAACACTCATAAAGGAACGGTGCAACTATGAGGAGAATTGGTTTTATTAAGATCTTTTCTGCCTTGAACCGTGGTGCTTCTTGTCAGAGAGATGCTCCCTTTTCTCCATTCACACCGGCTGAACTCGAGAGATAAACAAATTGTGAAGTGATTTCTCCATCAGCCTCTCGGCATTCATCGTCGCCACGAGCTCACAAAGCTTTTTTCTCTTTGCCCGTTGAAGAAAGGAGTCTCGGTCTCAAATTGAGGAAAAAAATATGCACAGAAACATCTGCAAACCTGCATTTGCATGAATAAGTTAGTCATATTAATTCCTCTAAAAGACAGAAGAAGAAAAAAACGAAGGACAATCAAGCCACAGCTCCTTCCTCGTCACTGATTTGCATTACATGAAGGTGTAGAGAACGCACTGTGAAGGAGCTGAAGCCAAGTTTTAATATGCTGCCAAAGCAGGAAATTGAGCCCTTCAGGAGACACTACAGCACGAGGAGCCCGACATGTCTAACAAGCATTCTGTCCTGGCAAGTCCAATTTCCAAATGTTAGTTTTAGGTTATTGTAGTTTTTTAGTTAGACTAAAGAATTTCAGCAGCTTCTTCAGCCCCAGGTTGCACATTGTGGGGCAAAACGTTTTTCTCTCAAGTGGGGTTCAAATTAAAGCTTTGTTTTAGAAGTTTGGTTCATCGCTCACTCACACACACACATTACCTGCTGATAATGCAACTTCTGCATGCGTGTCCATTTCACGTTTTTTGGGAGAGACAAAGCCTGAACTGGACAGCATTTTTAGTCTCTTGATGCCAAACCAGTGCCTGTTTTTTTGTTGTTTTTTTTTTACCTTTTACTCCATGTAGTTCATGTCTAGAAGTAGTAAATGTTTAGGCTCAGTAATGACCGATTATTGTGATTCAGCTTGCCACCAAGTTTCAAGAAACTGAAGCGTGCAGCCATTAAAGAGATGAACTTACAGGAAGTAATCTGAGCCAGCTCCCTTTGGCCTGTGTAGCACATCTCTTTCTAAATTCTTTGTCATCACTGTCTGTGATAAATGCACCAAAAGCTGATGCTAATTTGCTACAATGGAGCACTTACTGTTTGCTTTAAATGAAGATCAAGCTATGCAAAAGCCTGAACCTCTACACAAGGAACCTTGTTGCTTTGTTTTCTATATGTTTATGTAACATGTCCACTTCTTTTGTCTCCTATTCTCCCTCTTCACCTCTGTCCTTATCCCTCCTTTTTTTATTTTTGCTCTGTTCATCCTCCTCCTCCTCCTTCTCCTCCTCCTCTTCCCCCAGCAGCGGGCACCACAGCCAGCTCCAACGCTGGCGCCATGAACTCTCTGACCTCTCTGGGCACCCTGCAGGGCCTGGCAGGAGCAACTGTGGGCCTGAACAACATTAATGCACTAGCAGGTAGCATTAACAGTGAGTATTCACCCTGCCATCAGCCACTCCACATCCACCTCTGATCATACATAACCAACGGCGACATCACAACCGCAAAGCCTGTGAGTCAGTGCAGAGAGACGTAGCCGCAGCTGTCGGGGGGGTTGACTCAAATGGGGTTTCTGATGACTTTGAATGATTCACTTGTACAAGTGCAGATTTGGTAGTAGGAGTAAAATGCATGCCAAAGAAAATCAATATTTAATCTCGTTGAACGAAGAACGAGTATATCAAAAATCCATACGTTTGTCCAACTCTAATGTGAACGGCTATTCCTAAGTATACAAATATCAGAAATGTTGAAACTGACTATCACCATGCATCACTTGGCTTTCTTCTGAAACAGAAAAAAGACAGCGTGATGCTTCGGTATTCCCGCTTTTGCTAAAATTCCCAGAGTTTGGTTCCTCCCGTCGTCTCTCTGTGTCTCAGTTTGACTTAAAAAATAAATGGTTGTTCCTCTTTTAAAGACGGCTACTGCATAAAATCACCTGCCAACACATATTTCATCCATTCCTCCACTCATCTCTTCATCCGCTTCCTGGTTGTGTCCCGGGTTGTGCTTGCTGTAAGAGTGCCGGTGTGCCATCCTGGCGTAGTTGGCGTGCTGCTCGTTGCCTAACAAAGGCTGTCGCCGTGTCATCGTTTCACATCGTGTTGGATTTGTTGTGTCACTGTTGTGTTTTCTGTTGTTTCCGCAAAGCAGTTTGGACAAGTTGCACGGGGGGCTAAAGGCCAAAATTGTAATTCTTCCTTTGGTTAGCTGCCAATTTCACATTTACTGTTATGTAAATGTTGTAATTGTACCCTCACAATGCAGTTCTATCAATTTTCCTGGCTGGTAAATACAAATCTTTTCAATTTCATGCCAAAAATATAAAAGGTAGATGTGTTGTGTTAGAATTTAACACAAAACAAACTCAAATTTGATCATTTAAATGTCAAAAGGAGAAACCGCAATTTTTTTCAGGCTGCTGTCACGCTAGGAAATACAATATTTGATCATTTTGTTGCACAAGAGGGCCCAAAAAGGCTGTTTTTGTCCCAATAATAAAAGCTAAATAGGACTCTTTTTTTTTTTTTCTTTCTTTCTTCGAAGTAAAAAAAAAATAGTCTAATTTGCTGTCAAAGCATTAACACAGCTGGGTGGTTCATTAATCCATTTTAAGTTTAAGCGAGTCACACACATGTTTCTTTCCACATGTGGATCGTATCGACCGCACGGCCGCCCTGTGTGGCGTTCTGGCATCTGCCGAGCCGTGTGGTGCGCGTCCTGCCTTTGACCTCCGGGGAGACGGGGCTGGGATCTTAATCAGAGCTGTTATGACAGCAGAGATCCTGTACAACCAGCCTCTTCCACCACATTATTCTCCCCTGACCTTTACCGCTCTTTGGTTCGACTAGCTGTGTCCGCTGTGTAAATTATATATGCGTCTACTCGAGCGCACGCAGGTACAAAAACACAGAACATGTCTAAACACACACACACACACACACACACGTGCTCGTCCTTCTGAGCCGAATGGGTCGCTTTCATTTTGCATCCCATTTTGTCCTCACTAACCCTTCTCTCCTCTTAGCGCATCCTTCCTCCCACTCACCCACCCACCACCAACAACCGCCCTCATTTAAACACATCTAGGCCTTAATTGAATTGCAAAGGTCACTGGTGCAATTATTCCTGAATAAATGAGTGACCTATAATCCAGAGCGCCGCGGTGATAATTTATTTCACTGTGTCTGACGGCGAGGCGACAGGACGCCGAGCCAGTGTCAGACCCCCTCTGACAAGTTGCCCTCCGTTGTGATATTAAGCCGTTACATGCAGCTAATGAGTGTTACTGCTGTGTTCCTTCACTTTTTAAAATCGCCACGCTCCCCTCCCCTCCCCGCCTACCCTTTACGCGCCGCGTAAAGGGTAGGCGAGAGTAGGCGAGAGCCGTCACGGGCAGGAAAGGCACACATGATCGCACCCCAGTATTTGTTTAACAACGCCACTTTGAATGAAGCGAAAGATAATTTTTCATCTTCTTTTTATTTTATTTATTTATTTTTGTCGTTCCGTCGACGCTGCTGTGGTCTCCGAGTGTGTTTCTGTGTGTGCGCATGCAGCGCTGCATGCTTTTTACTCCGAGATACCCGTGCAGCTCTGGCTGTCATCAGCTTCCTTCATACTTTAACGTGTTTAAATGAATCCTCTGTGTGTGTCCTGTGCTTGTATGTGTTCGTCCTTTGTGTTTTCTTGTCACACGGTTGGTCCTCTGTTTGTTTGTGCGTGTGTGTGTGTGCGTGTCGATGTGAGTGCAATTTACAGTATCGTCCGGCGTAGCTGTCGGTGTTTGTGTGTTGTGTGTCTCGTGTCCTGTATGTTCTTGTGGGTGTGTTAGTGTGTGTGTGTGTGTGTGTGTGTATGTGTGGTTAAAAAACACAACCTTCAGTGGGAGCGCTAATGAGTAAGTGCACTCTTCTTTCTTTATTGTTGGGTTTTATGTAAAGTTGCTCAAATGCTCTCAGGTATGGCGGCTCTAAACGGAGGCCTGGGCGGCGCAGGGCTCACCAACGGGACGGCAGGCACCATGGACGCGCTGACGCAGGCTTACTCAGGGATCCAGCAGTACGCCGCCGCAGCGCTGCCCACCCTCTACAGCCAGTCCCTGCTGCAGCAGCAAGGGGCTGCCGGCAGCCAGAAAGAGGGTCAGTAGCCTAAGGCTGTATGTCTGCACATCAGTGCTGCTCAGTGGGAGTTAGATTTGAGAGTGTTTACAACAGCAACTTTTTTCCCCTAAACGTGCGTCTCCTCCAGGATTTGCTCTTCAAAAAAGCAAACGGGCATTTAAACTCAGCGCTGAAATCATGAGTAGACTCTATAAAGTTATAGTGTTGTGGTGTAATGTCCTGATAAAATGTTAGTTTTTATCAAGTAATAAAAATCTGTGCTAAAAACATAAAAAATTGGCCTTAAAGACAGGATGCCTTTTAACTCTTTACCCCTTGAAAGTCTACTAGTTGTAGCCCTTGAAGCTCTTTTCTGAACTGAAAGGTTTCTGTCATAGTTCACGCCTGCTGATAGAACAAAGTGGCAGGGTTTGCATCAGATGTTAGTGGAGAAATCTGGAAACTATTCTCATCGTCGTCAAACCACGACTTTCTTGATACACTATGCTGCCAAACGTATTCGCTTGTCTGCCTTCACATCTCATTCTCAGCTCCAGCTTTTCTGGGAAGGCTTTCCGCAATGTTTGGGAGTGTTTGTGAGAATTTCTGACCATTCTTCAACAAGCACATTTGTGAGCTGTGTCGGGTTGAGGTCAGGACTTTGTGCAAGGCAGTCAAGTTCTTCCACACCTCCTTGCTCATCCATGTATTCGTAGACCTCGCTTTTGTGCACTGGTGCGCAGTCATGTTGGTCAACCCAAACTGTTCATACAAAGATGGGACATGAAATTGTCCCAAAATGTCTTGGTATGCTGAAGCATTAAGAGTTCATTTCACTGGAACTGAGAGGCTCAACTCCTTAAAAGCAACCCCACGCCATAATCGCCCCCAGACAAGTACCGTTCCCCTGGTAACCACCAAACTTAGAGTCATCCATCATATTGTTAGACAGAGAGGTGTGATCTCAGGCTTGGATGCAGCTGCTCGGCCTTGGAAACCCATTCAATGAAGCTCTGTAAGCACCGTTCTTGAGCTGATCTGAAGACCACATGAGGTTTAGAGGTCTGTAGCGACTGACTCTGCGGAAAGTTGGCGACCTCTGTGCACCATCTGCCTCATCATCTGCTGACCCCACTCTGTTATTTTACATGGTCTAGCACTTCATGGCTGAGTTGCTATCATTACCAATCACTTCCACTTTGTTTGACTTGTTGCATAGGTGTCATCCTATCACGGTACCACGCTGAGCTCCTGAGAGCGACCAATTCTTTCACAGGTGTTTGTAGATTTTATGCACCTGTGGCCAGGGAGGGGAGTGGAACACCTGAATTCAGTCATTTGGATGGGTGACTGAATACCTTTGGCAACTTAGTGTATATTCTGAGGTTTGAAACTCATAATTGCAAAATAGTCAAATGTTGTCCTAATGTGGGCAAAGAGTTTTAAAAAAATTACTTTTAAAACTAAACAACGTTTCAGTTCATAAAAAAGTTCATCCTCATCTCTTAAAACCAAATTCCTTGTTTTACAACTGGACCAAACCTATTTTTCTGTCCTTTATTTCACTTATAATAACTCATTTCACATTGTTTTTGTAGCAGAAAAAAAGGAGTGTTTAATCAGACCTCTCTTGGATTCTGATCAATACTTTTATTACAACGTCTGAGAGAGAAAATGTGAAAACTGGTCAGTCTGCACATCAGCGCTTCTGCAAAGTGCCGCCGACGTACAGAACCTGGCAGCTGAAGTTAAATTTACCCAAAAGCTTTAGACGACAGCGCTGAATACAAACCAGATGATGAAATGTCTAGTAAAACAAATAGAGCCACATACTGTTTGTTTGTGCACTTCTCATCTCGGCTTGCAGCGAAGATAAATTTGTAAAGAAGCTGTCTTTCTTTGACAGTCCATCCAGGAGTTCAAAACCCCTCAGGGAGAACAAAGATGTGCCAAACACTGGGCTCCCTCGCTGCTTCATTTAGCTGTGGAGAGCATATTAAATGATTCTGAGAGATCTGACCTATTAGAATTATTAGAATGTGCGATAGAGGCTGGGTAGGAGGGCACCCTATGACCCCTCTTAAGAGAGACTACATGCGGCTGAGAGAATGAATAAATCAAAAGCAAAAGAATAGGGAACTACTTTTGTTTGCAGCAAACCAAAATATAATTATTAGCTGAAAACCAAAAGCTTTCATCTTTGTTGGATTTTCAATACAATTGCAGAATGCTGTTTAAATTCAATAACAAACCCAAGGTCATGGGACATTGTGGGAAGCGGCGTGCTTGTGCCGAGTTCCTATGACGACAGCCACAGTGCAGCGCTCCCTCTGCTGCAGGTTTGCTTAAATGGAAAAACTATACTGACCTCATATCTGCTCTGCAAATCCCCCACCCCTCCTCCACCTCAGGTCCTGAAGGTGCCAACCTGTTCATCTACCACCTGCCCCAGGAGTTTGGAGACCAGGACATACTGCAGATGTTCATGCCTTTCGGAAATGTGGTCTCTGCCAAAGTCTTCATCGACAAACAGACAAACCTTAGCAAGTGCTTCGGTACGGCAGCAAAAACCAAAACGCACACAAATGCCTGGAATTATTTCTTTTTCTTGACTGTGTCATAAATCAGGGGCTGGGTTGTTGTTGAAGGGAACAAATCTGAAGGACGGCAAGTTCTGACTGTGCATAAAAGATGGACGTTGTATCAAAGTGCCTTATCTGCATTTCTTCTGATATCAGAAGGGACAGATTTCTTACTTAATACAACATGATGCTCATTTTCTAAATGATGGTCGCGTTTAGGGTTAAAAAAGGCCAGAAAAAAACACAATAAGCCACAGAGCAAGGCTACCTTGGAATTGGATCACATTTTAGTTTGTAAGCATAAAGAAAGCAATGAATAGATTGCCCACTTCAAGGCTTTAAAACAAGGTACAATGAGCTGGTCTGTAGCTACGTTGGTGGCTACATCCATCTTTTATGTACAGTCTGTCAGTGCACTCACATCTAATGTTTTGTTAGACTTTGAATAGCTGTAACTTCAGTATTTAAGCAATAATTACAGAGCAATGATTTCTATAAGATCTTATCTGGCTGAGCAACGTACCTGAAAGAGCAAACAATTAGGAAGCCTCGCGCTTATCAAAAATAGACAATTTATATAGTTTTACCCAACTCTACCATCCTTCCCACATGACACAAATGTGGCAGGAGACACTTCTGCTAAAAATAGTGATGATTTCCGGCTCTCATAATCGGCTCATAAAGCCGAAAATGATCAAGTTTTCCACTGGGAGGTTGTCCTCCGATGGCCAGTTTCCAGAACATGTCTGAGCTATTACCAAGAACATTATTTTTTATTGGATCAGCCTTTATTTTTGTGGTGCTTTGCTTCAAGTACCAAAGAAAAGAGAAACATTCATAGTAGTAGTAGTAGTATTTATTTATTGTCATTGTCAAGAACAATGAAATTGCGTTTGGGGCTTCCATACAACCCAAAAAAAGAAGAAAATAATAAATACCCCTTAAAACCCAAGTGTACATATTTAACCCAGTGTGACTCCAATGCAATAGACAATCCTTAGCAATGGCAAGGTTCTTCAGAAAGTTCCTGGAAGTTATTCATTTGGTACTTATTATTATAAGTCCTGACGTAACGCAGATGAATCGCCAACATACACTGCTGACAATTCAAGAGAAGAGCCATCCCACTAATACCTGAATTTACCTGGATTTGAATGAGTCTTAGTAATACTTTAATAGCTCTGTAAACTAAGTGCAAATTTGAGTTGCCGTCTCAAACCATTGTGTCTATCTTCTATAAGTAATTCATATTTACACAGTTATTTCCAGGGAACTTTAGAAGGAACTGTTAGGGAATTGCATGAAAAGCTTGACAAAGAAGAATTCAGTGCCTCCTTTCCATCTGGATTTACGTTTTCCTTACTGGTATGTTTTTGTGTGTTTTTTTTAAAAAGTACTAGAGTAAATCCAGGGCAAATACCGTGTAGATTTGCATTTGTATGGAAATCAAAACCTAAATATTACACATATCCAATCCACAAGCAGCAACTAAGGAAAACAGAACTAAATCAAGCATGGATCCAGGAAAAAACTACCGTCTGGTACTTGTCAGAAAATGGTTTGCGGGGATGGATGTGAGACAAGCGAGACGAGGAGTTTACTGTCAGCTTCAGAGGTTGCAGATATTACAGGGGGAAGGGAAGCGTTAGCGTAAACAAAAATGACTTTTTGCGGAGAAGATAGAAAAATAAATCTTAGTATATTCCACAGTCCGCACCAAAACCTTTAATTTTACTTTTTTAATCAAAAGTGGCCTTTGCCAAAGTAAATCTGTGCTTTAATGCTACCTACAATCTGTTTGTTTGTTTTTTGCTGTAGTCTCTTATTATTTTGTTGATGCAACGAACGAACATCCCTTAGGGCCATCATTACAGTTTAATCTTGTCTTATTGTGTACCAGGAGTGTTTTTAAACATATCAAAGACCCAGAAACAAGGTAAGGATGCCTTGTGAAGTATTTTTGTCATGCAAGAACTCGAGAACAAGGCGACACTGTAGCTTTAAATTGATACCATAGATGCATCTAGTAAAAATCTCACACAAGTTAAAATCAGTGACATCGATCTCAAGGTCAGAGCAAGTTTTCTGAAAATCGAATGTGATAACTTGAGAACAAGGCGATGTAGGATTTATGCAGGTAAGATCACAGCAACAGTTGCCTCAAGGCAACTGACACTGTAAGGAAAAGACCCTACAACATTAGGTAGAAACCCCAACAATCAGATGACTACTTTTAAACAAAGAGTTGGTGACAATGGGAAGGAAAAACTCCCTTTTAACAGGAAGAAACCGAGCACACAACCAGGTTCAGGGAGGGGCAGCCTTCTGCCATGGCCGGTTGAGGATGAAGTAGGCCAATGTTAGGCTGCCTGAAAGTCTGACTCAATAATGTTTTAAAAGCCTTCTTGTTGTTATTTTAATACAGTTTCTTCACAACTGACCTTCTTCTAACTTTTCCTCTAACCGTCCACTTTTCTCTTGCGCCCCCTCACAGGCTTCGTCAGCTACGACAATCCAGTGTCGGCACAGGCAGCCATCCAGGCCATGAACGGCTTCCAGATTGGCATGAAGCGGCTGAAGGTGCAGCTGAAGCGCTCCAAGAACGACAGCAAACCGTACTGATCTTAGCACTAGGGTCTATCTGCTCCCCATGTTAGCACTGCTAGGGTAAGTCCCCCCACAGAAAAAAAACAACAAAAATGATGAAAATGAAAAAAAAAAAACAGCAAACCGAGCCACGACCTCTCTACACAGGGACTCGGGGGTGAGGGTTCAAGGGAGGGGATGTGGGAGGGAGGGGGAGACGACCTACAACCACCCTGAGGGAGACACACGCCTTGTTTTCTTTCTTTTTTTTTTCCTTCTTTTTTTTTCTTGCTTTTTTGGAGACTCTTATGTTCAAGTATTATTATTTATTACAGTTTTTTTTTACACACATGAACGCTTCCATTACCACCATTACTTTGTGCAATTTTTTCTTTCTTTTTTTTAATAATAATGGAAGAAAGTAGCTTTTTTTTCCGATTTTTTGCTTCGCAGGTATTTAAAACTTTTCTCGGTGATTATTTATACTTTTTTCAGGACAGACGTAAAGACAAAGGAGCCATGAAGATTTTTTTATTTCCTCTCTCTCATTATGAACCTGAGGCCTGGTGAATGGTTCATTATTACTTTTTTTTTTTTTTTGTTTTTACTACTTTTTAAAAAAAAAATTTTGACGCGCACGCCGATATGCACATTCGACCTTTGACCTCCGCGGTGTTGGTTGCAGGCCGCCGCTGCTTCTCCAAAAACCCTCTACGCCTGCTGGCAACCCGGGAGCAAAGGCTGCAAAACTTTTAGTGGCCTCTTTTACAGTATAGTCAGTGGTAACATCAACCTGCCGTACAGTTACAGTCTACCGCCGCAGGAAGGAAAACAAACACGCATACTCCAGCTTTTATTTATGTGAAAATTTAAAAAAAGAAGAATTTTTTTATTTCTCAAAGGTAAAAATGAATAATTAGTAAACACATTTCTGGGTCAGATCACATTGGTCTTTGTTGTGAAAGAGATATTACAGCATGTAGAGCATTTTCAAAATAACATCCAGAATTTGATGAAGGCTATGACAATGCTATTACTACTAATAATAATAAAAGAGTTTATGGGTTAAGGGGGTAAACTGAAAATACTTGATGTTTGTTTGAAAGATTAAAAAAAAATAATTCAAAGTACAGAAAGCCACAGGCCTGTAAATTTTATTTGTAAAAAAAGCAGTTCTATTTTTATACAGCATTTTTACTGCCTCAGATTTAAAAGAAAAAGGATTTTATTTATTGCCTATCGTTAAGTTATTGGACTCCTATAAAGTATACAGCATCATTATAAAGTAGACCCTTGTGGAGAAGTCTCGTGGAATTGGGTTCTCTGGTGTTTTTTTGGTGTTTTTTTTTAGTGCAGAAAACCACAGTCACCAAAACATTTCGCCGCCATTCGACGCCCCTCCCACCAGCACCACCACCACCACACTCCTCTCTGTGCTGTTCACCCACCCATCTATCCATCCATCTCTCTCTCTTATTACCACTCTCTCCCTCTCTCCATCCATAGTGGGACTACTTCTTTCACTTGTCGAATTTCAACCTTTTTCCTTGCGTTGTTTTTTTTTATTTCATAATTTTTTTGTTTGTTTTGAGTGTTTTTTTTGTTTGTTTTGAGTGTTTTTTTGTTTGTTCGTAGCCCCTCCTTTACCTGCCGACTTTTACAAAGATCTGAAAGCAGAAAGGAACGAGTTAAAAGAACCTCCCCACCCGTTCCCCATCTTAAAAAAAAAAAATTCTCCCAAATGAACATCCATCCGGGATCTGATGGATAGCGCTTTGGGTGCTCCTTTGTTTATTTCTTGTTGTTTTTTATGTGTGCGCGTACGTACGAATGAGTGAACGTGTGTTGTTGCTTGTTAGTATATAGATTTGAAACATCAATATCATTTTATATTACTAAAAAAACCCAAGAAAAAACAGATTTAAAGCTAAAATATTTGCAGATGAAATCAGTGAGTGGTGTTGCTGTTCTGCTGTTTTGCATTGTTGTTCGTTTGTTGTTGTTTGCTGTTTGTTGTTGTTGTTGTTTCTCCTTTATTTAATTATTTTTCATTTTATTTTAATTTTTTACATAAAAAAAGAAATGCTGTAGTGGTGTGGTGCTCTGGCTCTCTGTGTGTAACTCTCTCCTCTCCCGTTTTTTCTTTCCCCCTTTTAGAACAACCCATCTCCATGCCTGTTAGCTCATCGTTTGCCTAGCATGTCTCCGTGGTGTCGAAAAAAACACAAAACTTTAAACAAAAACAAACAAACAAAAAATACCCACCAAAAAAAAAGTGCCATCGTCCTCCTCCTCCTCCCCCGTCATTGTTTTTTCTGATGTCTTTTCCGAGCTCACCTGATCATAACCTGGTTCTCCTCCTCCTCCGCCACCGCCGTCTACTGACCTTTTTTGAACTTTTAGCTTTTTTGGACTTTTTTTT